TATAGTTTGGGATACAATGTTCAACAATTTTTTTTTAATTTCGACGCTGTACATTATATTTTATCTAAGAAAGGGAATGACTTAAACTAATTGTAAACTGGAAACACGTTTTCCTCTTTGAATCGCAAGTTATTCATGCATTTTGTCATGTTTATTTTTCAAGAAATTTGTGGTTCGTTGTTTTTTGTCCATCGACACTCTGCTTCATTCTATGCAAATTAAACTATCCAAATGCAAGGAAAAATTCTAGTACACTGTATCTGGGGAAAAACGAAATTTACATGTACAGTCTCTAAATTCAACTTGTTATCATGTAATAAATGTCTAGTTTTATGTACACCACATGTACATAAATGCAAAATGGCACCTCTGCGGGACAAAAGACTGGCACTTGGGCACTTTATATCACAGGAAATCGATAAGGTATTACATGTGTTAAACAAGGGATCAATCGAAAGAAGATCGGGACACATACTGTGAAAACTCATTTCAACTGAAGGTCCAGCTGAGAAGAAAGTAAATTTTCTCGTTATCGACATCTGGATATAAATACAATTTGAAATATGCACTCTGTAATTGTTCTTTATTTACCCCCGGTATTTATATTTGTTTGTACGTTGTTAACATTTACAGCGGACACAGATTAAGGAAGATTATACGTTTTCCTGCACTTTCAAACCACCTAAATTATGCTATATCAACTTGCTGTTTCTCGGTTATTATAACACATACGAACTCTTTTTTAAAGCATGATTTCTCATAATCATGTAAAATTAAGTGAATTTTTATTTAATTGTGATGAATCCAGCCCTTCATCACACGTTTTAAAAATTAACCCCCCCCTTTTTTTTTCTCTTCCATTATATTGGTGATTCATAAAATGGATTCCATCCGCTTCCCAATTAATAATGACATTATTTCTACATATTTTAGATTTTTGAAAAATGTATTTCAGTTCCCAAACACCAAAGCAGTCTGAAACCCTTCCGTGTATCTTTGTACATTCTATTCTATTCTTTGTACATGAAAAATGTACATTGTATTAAGTTTTCAAATTTAAAAGTTGCTATGGTATTATGGAGATCGATGCGGTAGATATACAGTGTACAGTTTTTCCCCGATGTCTATTCATCATTTATGTTCATCAATGCATATTTCATAAACCTTAAAGAATAATATTTTATTTAAGTTATGGAAATAATAAATGAACACAACTAATATGGGGGAAAATGCACCAACATTAAAGGTAATTCACACAAATTAATATTTCAGTGTTTTGATTTGTCATACGTTATAAAATATGAAAGAAAGTCATCTACTTGTAGTTCCCTTCTCCTATCTTCTATATTATGAAAAATCGTAATTCAATTATACTATGAGATCCCATAATACATTTCTTATATTACGATATCTTGTAATATTATGGGTTTTCGTAATCTTACGATTTTTTGTAATATTACGATGTTTCGTGATGAAAAGCGTCCTGTTGTACAAAAGAACGAAGTAGAAACAATTACGCCTTGGATCGAATTGAAATTCAGGAAATCAATTTCTATTTCTTATATCAAAAAATATATATATATTTTTTTTTAATTTTTCTAAAGCGTGTAAATAAATTAAACGTAGAAAAAAATATTTGAATATTCTTTTCTCAACTGTTTGGGAACAGTAAACATTTCTTTTTTTTTTTTTTGCATTAGTTGTATTATTTTTTTGTTTTATTTGTTCCCGATACATTAAATTGATAACGAATTGTAGATCTTCGTTAATTGTTCAAATACTCAATTTTATGCCTTTTGTTTTCTTTTTAAAATATGTATACATAAAAAATCCATAGATTAAATGACATTACATGTATTAGAAAATATAAAAAAAAAATAATAATAAAAAATTTTACACATAATATAATTATTCTAACTTTGGCTATTCAATTATCTATACCAGGTATGAACAAAATAATTGATATATCTCTGCAAACAAAAATTAAACATACATGTGTATTACATGTATTTACTTCTTTAGTTGGGTAAATACGATAAATACGATAAAATGCATTATACTAATTTGCAAAGCTTTTTTTATTCTACAAGTTTGAGACCGTTTATCATGCTCAAACAAAGCGAGGGTGATCTTCAATCGATCTTGTTAAGAAATTAGTTTTATTCTTATGTAGACTTTCCAAATAAATGTATAGGCATGTCTTATTCGCATATATTGCTCAAATAAGAGATGTAATAACGTCGTTCGAGTTACTTCCCTCGATTTCTTATGTCGTCGGACAGGGGGTGCGATTTTTACACCGACGGTCGGAAGAAAACGAGGACGGACGGGAAGGATCTATTGGTCAGAATAGTTTAACAACATATCAAACCTTTATAAAAAATTATAAAGAATGCTAGGAAAATTCTTTTAAATGATGTATGATACAAAATATCGACTTACCCTTCATCCATACTACTTTCTTCCGGTGATGCCATGTTGCTTCGCAATATAATCTGACCAAACTGACCGAACGTTATCAGAGCGAATGGAACCAGATACATTGCTGACGTCACTGGCAGCCACCCATGGTGCATCTTTGTTTCTGAGGCGTTTTTGTTTTATATTACGATAATTCGTAATGTAGTTCCCTTCTTTCAGTTATATTACGAAAATTCGTAATTCAGCTATATTATCAAATCTCGTAATACAGTTCTTATATTATGGTTTTTCGTAATATTACGATTTTTCGTAATATTACGAAAATTCGTAATATTACGATATTTCGTAATGGACTGGACTGTGCATGGCTGCTATATTTACATAGTATAATTGACACTTAACAAAATCAATATTGGTATATTTAGTTCATGTATAACAGTAGTATTCGGGGTGCTTTTAAATTATACATGTTCTAAATTTTACACAAAATAACCTGATAATGGTTACATTTTCATGTTTTGCAAGGAAGCAGAAAATTTAAATACTTTTATTCAACGCTTATAAAACCTTCAAAGATTTATGGTTAATCTGACACATAAAGGGTTGATGCTTTATAAATGATATGTACTGGGTAACAAAGCCAACATGGTGTATTCCTAGAAATGATGAAATAGGTATCATATTTCAATAAAAGATCTAGTACATTGGAACATTAGGTTGAAATTTTAGGACATGTTGGTTTAAATTTATTTTCCACCAGAGAGAGAGTGAGTTCAAAATTTCCAAGTACATGGTTTAAGGTCATTAAATATGTAAGAGGAAATGATGACCAAGGAGAATATTTTATTTAAATGATCGAGCTCTTCCAGAATTTTTAAAGAGTTATTATTTGATATAATTCATATTGTTTAAATAACGTACATTGTAAATTTTGATAATGTTAAATGAAAGAAAAATGTATCATGTCAACTGCATCTGTAGTATAATACTATATTTTTGCAAAAAAAAAAAAATACTGAATAATGCAAAGTCTACAGATTCAAGTTATGGTTCGATTAATGTCAATTAAAATACTACATGGTTCAGTGAATTAGGCTAATGTATTCTGAGTTCAGATAACAAGGTAAAAAATAAAATAAATATGTTTCAGTAATGGATTCTGATAATTTATCCTCTAAGTATTTAGAATATTTTTCGATAAAGTTTAATTGTAAATGTGAATCAGGCAATATATTAGAAATACCTCCATGGCCATGGTATGCAGGGTCCCCATCTTCTTTTAAACCTCCCTCCCCAAAACACACTCTTTATATTGGCATCTTAACTTTGAAAAGTGCTGAGCAGGCCTGAGGAATGAAAGTATAGATTTTTAGCTTGAAATTTTCTGTAAAAATAGCCATGAGTTAATAAATATATAAATTTTAATTACTTTAAATTTTTCCCTGCAAGTAAACTCATAAATCATCAATCCCACATGAACTGGTCTGGAAATGACTACAGATCTAATGTAAGGATAACATTATTTAGGTCAGGAGATAACATATAATTATTTTGTATCAATGAATTAAATTATTTAAAAAAAAAAAATCAATAAGCAGAAATTTTAGTGGGGATTCAATTTTGGCAATTTTAGCGAGGATGTTGAGGTCGCTAAAATTGAACAACACTATAACTATTCGATCATTTCAACACTGAAGGCTTAATCGTTACCATTCTAGACATCACAAATTGCTAAAATTATTTCTCGCTAAAATTAACTACCTATTTTTATGGAAAAATCGCTAAATTTACGTCTCGTTAAAAATTCCACTTATACGGATGTACGGTATTTAATTTAGTCAATGTACCTACTCCAACCCCCCCCCCCCCAACACACACTCTTTATATTATACTGGCATCCTAACTTTAAAAAATGCTAAACATGCAGACCTGAAGAATGAAAATATATTAGCTAGCTAGTTCGGTCTTTACCTTGAAATTTTCTGTAAAAAAAAACCATGAGTGAATAAATATATATAAATCTTCCCTGCAAGTAAACTCATAAATCATTAATCCCACATAAACTGGTCTGGAAATGACTACAGATCTAATGTTATGTAAGGATTACATTATTCAGGGAAGGAGATAACATATATTTATTTTGTATCAAAGAATTGATATTAAATCACTTTTTGAAAAAAAAAAAGAAAGGAAAAAAAATTCCAAGAATATCCATAGGCAAATTTATAAGGCTTTAATTTGATTTTTAAATTTGAACATGTTGAAATGTCCATGAAATATTTGTTAAAATAATATTTCATAATTTTAAAATACAAGAAAAAAATTACTACTTTATAAGGTATATAGGGTAAAATATGTTTGTTAATAGAATCAGCCGACACTTAATTGCTTCTCTCCACAGTGTTAACCTATCAATGATTGCATGTGTATGTGAGATGGTCATAATACGTTTTTTCTGTGAACTCAAAGCTCACACTTTCTTCTGTCAACATTTGTGCCAATATATTTAAGTTGTAGAAATTTCATCGATCCATTATAAAGTATGCTGAATTATTATTTAATTTTCATGTATTTTTCAGAATACCACCCTAACATGGAGGAACAGCTGGCCAGAATTCACAGACTGCTTCCAGTTCACTGTGTTGATCTGGGTGGCCAGTGGCTGGCTGTGGATTACCTCCCCTTTTTATATCTATTACTTGACAATACAAAAAGACTGTCCCAACCCTGTAACTCTCAAGTTTGTCACAAAAGTAGTAAGTTAAATTTTTTAAAATTTAGTTTAATTCGATTTTAAAATTAAGTACATTTGCAAATGCCGTAGAGATATGTTTCGGTGGACTTCCAGAAAATATTCATTTCGATACTGAAGCAATGAGGCCCCATTTGTTGAATTGTATAACTAACAGAATTTTCCGTAAATTTCCGTCATCTCTGTGCAAACGACAACAGTCAATAGAGTTTACATATGACATGAAGTTGTTTTGCACGTGCAGGATGCCTGAACATGGATTCATGTTTAATTGTACCAAGTGCCGCCAGTGGTTTCATCCACGATGTCAAAATACGACACTTAATGAAAAACAAATTAGAAAGTCTAAAACAATCAAATGTATGGATTGTAAGAGTTCATAAATGATGTTTATCCTATAAATCTTTGTTATAAAATTTTGTAACTTTTTCTCCGGACAAATAAATTCCGTGCATTGTTTTATTGTTTTATTTTTAATTACAGAACTCACGGAATAATATTCATAATGATAGGTATAATTTTTTAAATGTACGGACAAATTTATCATCCGTGCAAAAACAATCCGTGATTTGTACTATTTTCTATATTTCCGTACATCCGTGATTCCGTGACCTGTCCGTGTTTTGTAAATGGCGTACATACTAATTATCTTGTTTGATTTTATGAATAATTACTATGAATATTTTTATTTTTCAGGTGTTAACTCTATGTTCCCTAACCCCTGTAATTATAGAAATAGTATCGACGGCTCATGATTTGTCAGCATCAGACTCTTATTTGAAAGCCTGGTTGATTGGGCCATGTATAGAAGCAGTTACACTGGTAAGTCTTGGCATTGCTTTGCTTTTATAAATATACATACTTTTAATTAGTCATTTGTGAGAATTGTACACTGAAAAGAACACTTTTTGAAGCTGTTTTAAATGCATAATAAGTATACACATTGCAAAAAATTTGAGACAATTATGAATTTGATTAACAGACTATACTTCCTTAAGAACATAATATTATCTTGGAAATTTTTTTTCTTAAAATTTTTGTAAATTATGAATTCATGGGAATAAATTTTTTTATTGTGATCTTGGACTAATTTTGCCAACCGATATATCAATGTAAACTAATGCATTTTTAATTTTCCTATACAGTATTTAATTTTTGATGTTTTACTTTATAGCTTTTAGTTTTGCTGTACATATTCCTAGAAAGACAGAAAGGATTTGTGACCTCAGGGGTACTGTTCATGTATTGGACCATTAACATTATAACATGTATTATTCCATTCTACCACATGATCATCACAAAGGTAATGCAGTGTACATGTATATAATAGCAAATACTCTCTATCGTAAATGTGTATTATGACTTGTACTGGTAGTTATTTTAGCAGATTTTATCATTTGGTACCTTTATTGCTTTTATTGTTAGATTTGTAGTATGGACATTGATGAAGTACATGTATATGATTTAATCTGAATACAATATGCATCAAAACACGGAAAAATATTTATTCATGATTGCACCTATTGGTCTTTAATTGAACCACTTGTGCAGCAAGTTTCACAACCTTCTTTTAATTTTGAATATTTATGGCTGTAGATGATTCATTTATTGTATTTATGTAGAATATTTCTTATTTGCAAGTATCAGTAGTATCTGACGGATTTCAAATGGATGAATCACAGACTAAAGTTGTTGCAAATAATTTACAGTACTTGCCTAATAACAATCAATTTCTACAAAAGTCTTGTGAAGAATGTTCATTGTATTTGACTTGTAAGGTTTGTCTATCTTTTTTCAGGAATACAAGGATAAGCCTTTGAGTTTTAGTGTCTTTAATGTTTATTTCGGTCTGGCCATTCTTCAGTGGATACTTTACTGTACAGCAGACAAAACCAGCAGACCACAAACAGAGGTATGTACAAGTAGAATGAACTCTTGCAATTCTTCATAGCTTTGTTTAAAAAAAAAAATGACCTCCTTGTCAAAATTATTTGAGTCCAACATATATAACCATACATGTCATCTGATAACAAGGAATATTTATTATGAATGATTACTAATGAAGTGAAAAAGCTACATTTAAATGATTGGTAACTTTACACATGTTCTTTGCAGGCCATTTTGAAATGGCATTGAACAATATACGTTTCATCAGGTTTATATTAGGCTAGTAAAATTTCTGTCATTTGTGATTTCACAGAGAATAAGGAAACATCACTAGACCAGATGCTTTTGTTTCCCAGCTTATCGTTAATTAAGGTTCTATATTACTGAAAAGTAACCTTTTTAAATTTGTATGTATATGCATGGCAGTCGGACGGATTCGATCGCCGGTGGCCAGAGAGCTCAGTTTGTAGAGCAACTGACTGGAGATTCAGGGGGTCTGGGTTCAGATCCTGGTCTGGTCTATCGCATTTTTCTCCTCTCTCAATACATTTGGTGCTGTTACATTTCGGGGGCCAAAGACCTTTAAGGAGGGAGGAATGTGGTGGTCAGACGGGTTCAATCGCCAGTGGCCAGATAGCTCAGTCGATAGAGCACCTGACCGGAGATTCAGGGGGCACGGGTTCGAATCCCAGTCTGGTCTGTCACATTTTTCTCCTCTCCCGTTACATATGAATTTGATTCTCCACAAATTTTGTTGAAGTGTCACATGTGTCAGAATTATTAGCATACAGATTATTGAGGCTAAACTTTACCCCTAAACTTGATCAAAATAAATCTCAAAGAGGAGTATGAACTGGGAAGTTAGCAGGGATAATTGCAAAATGTATTACTTATTGTTTTGGGAATGGTCAGGGGGAAAAGTTTTGATATTTCGGACAGTTCAATATGCTTCGTACTTAGCATTTACCACTGATCACAGGCATGTGATACATTGATCGATGTTGGGAACAATCTGCAACTTTTTCAAGGTTCGTCAGATCTTTTCGTGATATTTATCACTTGTAAACAGGCTAAAACATTGCCAGGTAGTGAGGTTCTAACTTCGGACAATGTTGTTACTTAGGACACGTTACAACTTCGGACTTGTATAAATGAGAAATTGTTTTGCTGCTGTGCCATTTACACGATGGTTGAGCTATAATTACAGCAGGGAACTTCAACTGTTGTGGAGGCATTGAAAATTAAATAATTTTTAAAATATAAACAAATTAGTGCACACATGTATTTACATTAAACTTATTTCAGTGGTATAAAAGGAGTTGCGTATAAGAGATGGATCACACATTTTATTAATTGTTAACATTTAATTTGAAATGATCAACTTCCTGGTTGTGACGTAATGCTATCTTTAAAAAAAAATCAATTTGAAATACATGTATATAAACATTGATTTATAGATAAGGTGTACAATTGCGTGTATTGCATATTGATTTACTAATGTACATACAATGTATATATAAAAATTTTCAAGATAAAGAAAAAAAGGGAGTGTCACAGTAAGAAATTTTAGGAACACTGTAGCTGAATAAACTCTATGCTATTTATGGCAAAGAAAATATTTGTGGCCCCAAGGGCTAGGATTGGGCAGCATAGTTTAAGGAGGGAATATATAGGAAATTAATAATTAAAAAAAGTCGTAGAACCACATTAACATGTTACATACTCATACTTAAATTTGACATCTATTTTACAGAAAGAATGTCCAGAGCTTCGTGCATCATTTTTATCCCGAATAACGTTTTGGTGGATAAACAGGTCACAATAAATTGAAAGAAAATTCAGTAATTTCAAGATGTTAAGAATAATCTCAAATTCACTTCACTTTTATTATTATTAATCGTTTCACATTCTGTGTCTGTTAACAGTTTGATGATTTCTGGCTACAAAACACCGGTGACAGAGGATATATTTTCATTAAATCCAAGAGAACAGTCCAAAAGTGTCATACCAAGATTTGAGGCTAAATGGGAGAGAGAAAAGGACAAATTTAAGCAAGAACAAAAAAATAAGTAAGAGAATTAACATCTGTTATACATGTAGATGAGATCTTTTAAAATTTTCAAAATCATTTCCAATAAAATGTAAGATAGATAACAAGATTTCTCTTGTGTACTGAGTAGAAAATGAAGCATGAAAAAAAAAATTGCCAAAGAAAAAATGAGAGTCATACAAGTAGAACATGCAGCTAATTTTAAATTTTACATACAGTTTAGATTTAACATTTAATTAGAATTATCTCCCTTTCCAGAAAATCCCTGACAGTTTCTGTTGTGCCAGGTTCCACCACTGTGACTCAGCAGTCAAGTCACTATACCAGCATACAGGAGGAAACGTCAGAGAAATCACCACTTCTGCCTAAAAGTGAAGCAGAAAAATCAAAGAAAGAAACAAATGTTCCAGGCCCCTCTCTGTTAAAAGTGCTCTTTAAAACGTTTGGATGGGAACTGCTCCATGCACAGATTTTCAAGCTTTTTTATGATGTTCTTGTTTTTGTTCTTCCTCAACTTTTGAAGTAAGTGTAATCAGAAGTTACCTAAAAACTTACTTGGTATACAAAATATCTATTATTTAGTGATTATGAACCTAAATGTATGTATGACATTTATGATTATGTATAATCCAAACAGGGTCTAAATTGTCAAATTACAATGAAAATATCCTCATTTAGTATTAATTCAAATTTGACAAAATCATTGCCTTTTAGACAAAGGTTAGATGCTTTAGGGCTCTTAAATTTTACAACGTGGAGTAAATAGGGAGAAAAAATTTCCCACATAACGGTAATACTGTAAGCATACTTTTTTCCGCATGGAATTAATTTACTCTATGTACACAGTCACAATTTTTTCTACGAAAATTCGTCAAGAGAGTACTCAAAATTCATTTAGGACACATCAGGCTAATTCAAGAGATTTGTGTAATTTTCTATTTGTGCATCGTACAGAAATCGTGATTCTATGGAATCATGACCCCATGGAAAACAAGGCCCAAGGGCTTTAATGGTCACCTGAGTACAATACAACAATTTAGAGGATCCAAAAGCAAGAAAAATAGTATGACTTGCATCAACAAAATAATTGGTCTAGTATCTATCTGTCCTCCATTTATCACTATTACCATGCAGACTATTTAACAAAATGTCTATTTTTTAACCCCATATTATTACTTCTCACATTGGCCTCTCTTGGCCTTTGAAGAACAATTAAAAAAGATAAGTTATTTTTGTCTCAGTTTTATTCATCTATTATTTCCAAGTCTACCTGATCATTAAAATTATGAAAGTACTTTTTGTATTATACAATATATATTCTTGCATAATTCTCTTATTCTATTAAGCATTCAAACACATTATTTACAGTGATTTATTATCAAAGGTGAATGGCAAAGGGGAATAACTCCTCTCAGCAGAATACAAGTTAATAGAGCACTGGCCAGGACCAGAACACTTGACCGAATGGTCCAGGTGTTCAAAATTCTGGTAAAAATACCCTTGCATACTAAAACTTTTCTCTGTTTGCCTCAAATATGCCAAGAAGCATAGAAGATTTTCAAAGAAATGCATTTTTACTATATCATTAAATAAATAAAGCCCCATCCTTACACCAGAACATCTTACCCATTGGCCATTAACTCACAATTTTGGAATAAGCACCCTTGCTCATCATAACTATACACTTGTTTTTTTGCTTTATAACCAGTAGTAGAAAAGAATATTTTGAAACAAATTATGCATTTTCACTATATAATCAATAGAGCCCCCCCCCCCCCCATCACCAGAACCCCTGACCCTAGGGCAATGAATTTCACAGTTTTGGAAGAGGCATTCTTCCTTATCATAACCATGCATTTCCTTTGTTTGAAAGAGAAGAAAATTTTGAAAGACTTTATGCATTTTCCCTATATAATCAATAGAGCCCCGCCCTAACACCTGAACCCCTGACCCAGGGGCCACGAAATTCACAAATTTGGAAGAGGCTCTCTTGCGCATTATAACTATGTACTTAGTTAGTTTATTTAATACCCAGGAGCAGAGAAAAAGAGTTTCCAAGAATTAAGGCATTTTCACTATATAATCAATAGAGCCCCACCCTAACACCTGAACCCCCCTGACCCTGGGGCCATGAAATTCACAATTTTGGAAGAGGCACTCTTGCTCATCATAACTATGTACTTAGTTAGTTTATTTAATACCCAGGAGCAGAGAAGAAGATTTTCAAAGAAATAATGCACTTTCACTGTATGATCTACCGGTATATAGCCCCACCTTGGGGCCAGAACCCCTGACCCTGGGGCCATGAATTTCACAATTTTGGTAGAGGGCTCAATGCTTATTACAATGATGCCAACAGTTTGACTGCTTGATGTCCAGGAGTAAAGAAGAAGATTTTTAAAGATTGCATTAATTTTGGTGGTTTTAGCCCCACCCCTCAGGCCCCAGGGGGGCAGGAACCATGAAATTCACAATTTTCACAACACCCATAGATGCTATATTCCAAATTTGGTTGAAATTGGTTAAATGATTTCAGAGAAGAAGCTAAAAATGTTCAAATGTTAACGCAGTGACTCAGGTGACCTAAAAAGTATGTTTGCAGTACTAAAAATAAACTCTTTGTGAAACTTTAATTTTTTTTTGTTTCAGGTACCTAATCCAGTTTTCTAAGAATGACCCCAATGACACCACATGGAGGGAAAACTGGAAAGGCTATGTGTTGGCGGCCGGCTTTTTCCTGACCGTGCTTCTGCAGTCTGTTTTCTTCCATCAGCTATTCTACTGGAGTGTGGCATTAGGACTCAGAATCAGGGCTTGTTTAGTGTCAGCTGTGTATAAAAAGGTAAGGGAAGCTCTTTTTTGTTGCATGTTTTACAAGATGGCAGATTTCTTTAAAAGCTGTCCTTTCTGTGGTTGCCTAAGCTGGAGGGTATAAGGGTGGAGTGGGGTACTTGTCTTTATAAAGTGTTTTATTATACTGCTTCAACAGTGGGGAAGGGTGCTTAGCTTTAATTTTTTCTTATGCAAGCTGTGAGTTTAAAAGAATCTGGAAAATATTTTAAATATAAATGAAGATCTAATTTCTGATTTCTTCAATATTTTAGGCTTTAACAATGAACAACGAAGCAAGAAAGGGTTCAACTGTGGGTGAAATTGTTAACTTGATGTCAGTGGACACAGAGAATATTCAACATTTGATCCCTTATCTGTGGTCAGCCTGGTCATCTCTGCTGCAGACAGGTGTCGCCCTCTACTTCCTGTATGACACTTTTAAATATGCCATGTTTGCTGGTCTAGGATTCATTATTCTTTTGTTTCCTTTCAATGGATTCATCATGAGTAAAATGCAGACATTGCAGAAAGCCAAGATGAAAGAAAAAGACAACCGTATAAAACTCCTGACAGAAGTTCTGAATGGTATCAAGGTATTATTTCATTATATCCCCCCTCCCCTACCACCAACACCACAAAGTTGTTTGGGTGTACAAGAATCACCATATCTGCCTGTCAAGCATTTTATGAACATTTTTATACCCCCTCCCCCCCATCATCTTGAAAAGCAGGAGATATGTAACACCTGGGGATATCTATCTCTCATTCACAAATCCTCCTATATCACTGAATAAAATTTATTGAGACTTTTAGAATATTTATTATATAGTGTAACTGTGCACCACCTATTTTATATTTTGATCTGCAGCAGATTTTCTATAGCAAAACATGGACACTACGACACTTTCTCTAATATTTGGGTACCCATCTCTTATCTACAACTCCTCCTATACCACTCAGTTTTTGATCTCAGTACTCACAGTACAAGTTTTTTTCTGTAACTTGAAGTTTAAGTTTAAAATTTATTTTAGAAGTGGTTTTAAAACTGAACTAACACTTATGTTGTTTATTGTGATACATGTCTGTATTTAATCTTCATCTTATGGTTCAATTACTGTAAAAGCAGAAATCTTTGTTGGGGATTTAATTTTGTTTATTTGTTGTTAACAATCATCAACAAAAAAAAATCCTGCACAAAATTTTATATGACTATAAATTGAGTAGGGCTACTTTCAAAACAATGAAATTTTAGTGCCCACAAAATCTTTTAGATGACAAATCAACGAAATGTTATCCACATGAAAATTTATGCTTCTACAGTATCTCTTTCATTGACTGGTTGGGATGTTGCATCTGACCGACTATATTTCGGTGACTTAATTTGTCCACAGCAGCGTTAAGTTAGATGATGTATATGTGCTGTGTTTTGTCTGTGACCAGCATAAGTACTAGCCTATAAGATCATATTAGTCATTTAATTAGTTGATTTATTTCTTATTGAGGGAGTATACTTCATTTACAAGTAATTGCTCTACAGAAACGTGAACATTTCTTACATTCTTTATTTGAATTTAAATATTTACATACACTGCACGTAATATTTAATTATTTCTTAAGATTAGCACTTATGCATATCATATTCTTTGGTAGGATTGGTTCACACTTGTAGAACATGCACTGTATAATCATGCAAACCTATCATTTTTCTTTTACATGTAGATTCTGAAATTATATGCCTGGGAAATGTCCTTCAAAGAGAAGATAGAGGCTATTCGTAATGTGGAATTAAGCATCTTAAAAAAGGAGAGCATGATTGGTCTCTTCTTCTGGCTATCCTGGATATTGGCTCCATATATGGTAAACACAACACCCTTCAATAATGCGTTGTTGTACATGTAAATTGCAACATGTACATTCATGTATTCATGTATGGTTTAAATTAACATGCCATTTTTGAGAACTCATTAAGGGAATGAAGGACACATGGTCACATGACTCTGTTTAACTACGTCATAGTCTCCGTTTATATAAGTGCAAAACGTGTAAAGCATCTGTTCTTGTATAATTTTTTGACAATTTTTAATCTTAAATTAGCATCTTATATTAAAAAAATAAAAAAGTTTTAACATTCTTGTAAACAATAACAAATTATGAAAAAGATTGATCCACTCCTCTGTTTCCCTAAACTGCGCGTCCAACAAGTCGGTGACGTCATACACGATCTGTTAGTACAGCAAGATCATACTCGGTGAACACAGGGGCGGTATTATTATGTAAAAACAGGTCTTAATCAGTATATGATGAAATATTTTGAGAAACGAGGAACACAAAAATTATTTTTGCATGGCTAATGATGGAAATCTTATGTAGGTATCCTATTTCGCTTATTAAGCTTACGTGTGACGTCATAGTTGGTTTTTCCCGTACTAGAGAAATGTAACATGACCCGTTTTTGTCATGCTTATGTCCTCTTTAACGATGTCCTGTGAAATAATGAGGTCAGCTTCATCATACGAAATTTTTACAGTTAATCAACAATTTGAAGGATTTGCATTTCAACGTAAATTAAAAAATATTGAATGATAGAATTTTGTGTAAATAACGTTTTTTATTGTTCAAGTTGTCTTAAAAAGTGCGTAATTTTCCCTATCCAGATGCAGTGTGATAGTCAAAACTTGCTTTTTCGAACTTTAAATCCTAGTTATACCCTGAAATATTTTAAAAGATACATGTCCACTTTGATATTTTTTATATATGCTTAAAAAATCCCATTATGGACAGAGTAATGAGCCCGGAAACATGGAGAATTAAAACTCCACTTAGATACTGTAGGGCATAGTATTTGTCAATCAATATCTCCAAAATAAGATAAGAAACCTAATGATATAACTGCTTTAAGATATGTGGACATACTTAATTAGAAATATACAAAATATGAAAAAAATTGAATGACAAGTATTTTTTCAGCTCAAGGTCCTTCTCCTCCTTAAAAGCTTATACATGTATTACTGTAAATCAATTTTTATTTGTGAGAACTTTACATTCGCATAATTATGCTAGATCTCCTCGCGAAAATTAATTCTCGTGTTAATTTGTGTAAGTAAAGATTATATAGAACAAAAATCAAATTTTGTGAAAATTATGTCTCGCATATGAATACCAAATTACAATCTCACAAAAATAAGGTGTCAGAAATATATGGTGATCTACAGTAAGTTAAAGTAATAATAAATGTGATCCTGTTGAAATTTCATCTATTTTTCTAGTTATCTTTCATGGTAATGACTTTTTTGCCAGGTTTCAATGCTAACATTCGGTGTTTACGTTTATACCATTGACACACATTTCCTGTCTCCGGAAGTGGCCTTTGTTGGAATTACGCTGCTTAATATTCTACGTTTTGCTGTGAATATGGCCCCATACATAATGACAGAGGTAGTGAAAGCTGTTGTCTCACTCAATAGGCTGAAGAATTTCCTGAACAATCAAGACCTGGACCCTGAGTGTGTATCACACAGTCGTATGGGAGGTATCTTATTGATTGATTACCGTTTTTTCTTTTACAATAATGTTTAGAGTAACATTGAAGTAAACACAAATATATACAATGTAATTACATTGTATTTGACTGTGTGTGTTGCATGAAATGTATATGGTTAGGGTTTGGTTTCAGATGATGCAATAACCATAAATCAAGGCAGCTTTATGTGGGATCCTGAAGTTGGTGAATGCTTGAAAAAGTAAGATTAAAAATGCAGTCACTTTATACAGACTTCCTCTTCATTCATGAATACAAACTGTATGATAAAAAGACATACATGTATTAGGCACAAACAGTGCTATCAAATTTATATATATTTTTTTCCAAATGTGCAGCACCTTATTTTTGATAGTGTTTCTAGACATCTTTGATCGTTTTCCAGCATTGATCTGACTGTTGAAGAGGGCAGTCTAGTGGCCATAGTAGGACAGGTGGGATCAGGAAAATCATCCATACTGTCGGCCATATTGGGAGAAATGATCAAGGTCAAAGGTCAAGTTAATGTCAGGGTAAGGGAATTTGAATTGAACAAAACCGAGAGATCCCAATATTTTTTGGTCTATTTGAAATTGCTTTATGTGGTCACTGTAATTGTTTAAAAAGTTTGACACGGACACTTATGACCCTCTTTACAACAGGGTACTGTGGCGTACGTTCCCCAACAAGCCTGGATTCAGAACAACAGTGTGCAAAACAACATTTTATTCAGTCGGCCGATGAGATCTGCTTTCTACCAGAAAGTTATCAAAGAGTGTGCTCTACAGCCAGACATTGATATACTGCCATCTGGGGACCAGACAGAAATAGGAGAAAATGTAGGTTATTTTTCTGTGACTTGATGACTTGTGATTTAAATTGTTTCCAGATATATATTTTTGTCAAATTCATTAAAATGAAAGATCAGTAATTCATCAAAATTTTAAAATCTTTATCTCTATTGTAAGAAGTTTGGTGTGTTACATGTGAGAAACATTCAGTTTAATTTTGATGCAAGAAAAATATTTGGAATTTTCTTCAGGGAGTTAATCTTAGTGGTGGACAAAAGCAGAGGGTGAGTTTGGCCAGAGCTGTATACCATGACACAGACATCTATCTTCTAGATGATCCTCTGTCTGCTGTAGATTCCCATGTTGGCAAACATTTGTTTGATGAAGTCATTGGAAATACAGGGATGCTCAAAAACAAGGTGAACATATATAAAGAGGACCCCAAGAGAAAGATTGCCATTTTTTTTCTATTAAGCACTGAATGAATATGATTGAATTATATTGCCAAGTGCTCCAGATTCTGTATTATGTATTTTTTTTTCAAGATATTCATTCCATCTGGTGTACATCTACCTCTTATCATGTGTATGTTTAATCATCAGAATCAAATGACACAGTTTTGAAGTTTTGATATTCTTATGCATCGAATCATGACTTAGATATTAATGTATGATGAAGTGACTACAAATATTTGTAGACAAGAGTATTGGTCACTCATGGAATACACTGGCTGCCAAAAGTAGACAAGATTGTCGTGTTGGTTAATGGCAGTGTATCAGAGGTTGGGACATATGAGGAGCTAGTGGACCATGCTGGACCATTTGCCGAGTTCCTCAGCACGTACCTCACTGCTGACAAAGAGAAAGAGGAAACTGAGGAGGATCCAGAAGGTGGGATTTTATGTGCTAAAAGTGTCTACATGTAAATAGGAATTGTAGGATTTTAAGGTTTATGTATTTGGAAAAGTGCTTATCTTGTCTTATAAAGTTTTCTTTGCATGCATTTGTTTTGAATCTTGGGTAGATATTGTTGATTGTGGTGTGTCTACTTGTTTGACAGTAAAAAATTATGTGCTAAGTATTAGTCTTAGTACAGTAGATTTTACAAACTCAATAAAGATTTATAAACATAATGTCATAAACAGATATAGAAAGTATAGCTTTCCAGGTTTCTCTTGTGTGAGTTCATCACTCGAAAATATTCAATCTGAGGGCAGAGATGTGAATGGTATGGAGTGTTTATGGTAATAGTTTGTACACATCACAATTAAAGCTAACAATATTACTTATCAGTAGGGATGGCAATTGAATACAGAAATGCTAATCGGTTAACCACAAGACATTCCGACCGATTAACCGGTTAATCGTATCAAACTAAACATTTTCTTGACTATTTTTCAAGTAGCTCTATTCCTATAAGCACAAGAAGACTTAAAAAAGATGTTAGAAGTTAAAAACATTCTATTTGTCTTTATTCTTGATCAGAAAACTACATGCATATATTTTTTATTTCAATAGACAAGAAAAAATTCAGGAAACCATGAAACATGCCTGAGAAATCATGGATAATTTTCCAAGCGGATGGCACACAAGTTCATCATTGTCACCAAAATCAAAACTAAGTCTAAACTGTATCACTTAATTTATGATGCTTGTTTTATAATTTAATTTGATAGATAACTGCAAAAGATATACATACCAATTCACAGTGCTCAACGTTGATTAAATTATCATTAATGAATAACGGTACACCAGGATTAACGACATGGTGTTTTAACAGTAATTTACACATCACAGACTGACCGATTACCTCCGCAATTTTTATCTGGAGAGCCATAACTATCACCAAATCAGCTTAAATAGATATTTGAAAATCTAAATTATCAACGTTTTAAGCAAGGATTTCTTTTTTAAAAATGAATTTTAAGAAGATTGCGTTCAATTTTACAAATATTTTAATTTTTTTTTGACTAATCGATTACAGATTTTCTAACCGATTGCCATCGTTCCCATCAAATAATCGGTTGACCGGTTAAAAATTGACATCCCTACTTATTAGGTTTGTTACTGACTGTCTACAGAAATATATTGGGTTGATCAATTTCATAGACATCGAGGTGGAGCTGAGCCATCTATGAAATTGATCCACCCGATTTACTTCTGTAGACAGTCAATAACAAACCTAATACATGTATGTGGTTCATTTTTATAAGGATTATAGTTTGAGACACATAAACACAAGACAGGCCTGTATCAACCCCAGTTTATCAAGGGGGGGGGGGGGGGGGCAGCCAAAAATAATTGACAAACAAGAGAAAAATAATTGACAAAACTTGGGAGGTGGTAGGATCTTCCTCTAAATTTTTGGAAATTTTTTAGGCAATTACATGGCACTGACACACCTTCCTCCTTACTGCAAGAAAAAGTGTGTCTGTGTGTGTGTGTGGGGGGGGGGGGGGGGCGGAAGGGTTGCACAGCACTTAAATAATACAGAATCTAAAGCAAAAGAATATTCTTAAGACAATGGGAGCCCTCATCGACCCCCTAGTACCACAGACAGGCCTGCAAGAAGAGATGATCAAGATCATGGAATTCAACATATTTAAATTGTCTAAATTTAATGTCCCTTCATCTCGACTATCAAGTCCTGTCCAATATCATTCAGTCAAACTCTTCAAAATCATCAATCTCACCTTCTGCTGCCATTAGTTATCTTTGAGGTACCTCTGTTTACTTTAAATAATTTGTTTCTGTTTATGCCTAGTCCTAATTTTAAATGCTTGTCCCTGGTTTGAGCAAATCTCAAAGTTACCATCACTTGTGATGCAAACATAACAAATCTGACATCAAAGTTGTTTCCTTAATAAATGATTTCCAATATCATAATGTAAATGCAAATCATTTACCATATTGCGAGATATTCTCACCTACTGGACATAAAAATATAGCTGGCAGTCACGTGTTGGGTTTAAACCAATGAATGTGCGACATTTCAATCCAAGGGAAAATAAAATGTAATTGCACATCAATATAATTTTTTTTAAAGTTGCACAGTGTTGTAGTTCAACCAAGTCAGCCTCACATTGGCTCACATACTTTTACCAACTTTTTCCATGGTAACTATACAATAAATGATGAGACTAGTGGCCTTGTGTTTTTTTTTTTACACAAGCGTAACATATTTGTACACTGTAATTTACACATGCAATAACCAGATGTTATATTTTACAGATTAAAATACCGGTAATTTGTAAAGATATAAGAAAGATAAAATTTGAAAATACTTTTATACAAGAAGTAATACTGCAACATTATTGTGGTCCTAGAATCAGAATTTTTTCTTTCCCTCTCTTTAAAAAAGTATCAAAAATACTCTGAATCAATTAAAAAAATACTCAAAGAATCTTTATTTATTAAAAAATAGTGTGTTTTCTTCTGACGAAATAATTCATATTTTTTTTCAAATTTTTACTAGTGCGAGAAGCCAAGGAGAAAATCCTACAGCGACTGATATCGGTGACATCAGTAACGTCGGATGAGGACGGTGATGGCAGAAGGTTTTCAGAGAATATAATCTTTATCAATATTTTATAATTTATTATAAGTTAGAACTTTAAAAATGTGTTGCTCATCTCGGTAAAGATTTATTTATATTTTGATGGACACTAATTGTTTATGTCAGTGCTATGCAGTATTGAAACACTTAACTAAACATTTATCAAGCTTGACTCCATTTTGGCCTGTTTGTTATAATGCTTAACGTCCAGCTTGATAAAATCTAACCAACTCCCATAAAGCTATTTGTATAACCTATAATTTCATTTCTTAATTATGAAAAAATCCTACTCTTGATGGAACTATTTCCTAAAAGTAAACAATAAACAAATATTAAAACTGCATGGATAAAATGCATTCTTCACAGGGAAAAGGTTACTTTATTATGCAGATTTTTCATTGTGTATTAAAAAAACTTTGTCAATGAAAAAAAAGCTCTTGCACTGCATGGCTATTTGTTTTGACAAAATTAAATCCATTCTTTATTCTTCTTATCTCTCCCCCCCCCCCCCCCCCCCCCAAAAAAAAATAAAAAAGTAAATCTACAAAAGATATTGAAGAATTTTAATTGAGGATTTCAAATTTTTTCAGGGTGTCGGAGTCTGAAAGTGAAAAAAAGACTTTGCTTCGTCAGCGTAGTGTGAAACAGAAAGACGAGAAAACGGTGGAGAAAAAGAATAAACCTACAGAGACCCACAAACTTATAGAAGAGGAAAAAGCTGAAATAGGCAGTGTAAGTATTCAGTACCCTTCTCTGTGAAAAAAAATGTAAGAACTAAGTTTTCATGATTTTTATAGTTTGCATCAAATGTCTTGATAACTCGAAGGAATTTTTAAAATACGAAATATACATGTAAAACACTGAGATTATTAAAGGTCTCACAAAACATCTAGAAGCAATAATGTAGCTTTCATAATTTTTTGACATTCTCCCACAAAAAACAAAACCAAAAAAAAAAAAAAAAAAAAAAAAAAAAAAAAAAAATTGGAGAGGACTTTATCATTGCAGCTTCAAGAATTTCCTGAAGAGAAGATTTTTTTTATTTAATTAATGAAAACTAAGACTTTCCTCAAGGAAGTATGACATCTGGTTAGAATGATACATGTAACTCTTGGATTGAAATCTATGAAATTTTCATCTTCAAAAATAATTTAGTCAAATTTGGCCCTATTTGATAATGTTAGATCTGCTTACATTTAAGAAATGAGGTAACATTTTAAAACTTTTATCGGGATGTAAATACCTGTTGGTCATGTGATCAAATCCCATAAAGCCTGAGGGCTTTATGGTAGATTTGATCACTGCCAACCCGTACTTACATCCCGATAAAACTTTAAATTATACCTTATTACTTGTATTTACATTTGAGATTGATTTACAATGTATATTATGTACTAAAGTTTTAAACCCATAAAATGATTTAATTTTTTTCCAAACTTCAACAGTTTAAATTTAGTGTGTTGAACTCGTCTACCGCTTATGACGTCACTGTGAAATTATGTCAATTGTTTATGACTGAACAATGAATTAAAGAACATGTGACGAACTTATTTTTACACAGTAGTAAATACACCTTGCTTAGATAGTGTTATAAAAGGGAAAATATTTGCAAATGTAAATATTATAGATTTATTTCCATTTCATGTTTGAAAATTATCTTAATAACTTCCTTAAAATGATTCATTCAGCAGAGGGTCGATCTCCCTTAAGAAAAGAGCTAGACTTATATAATGACAATCAAATTGTCAATTTAAAAGATACCTATCTCATAAATGCCTATTTTCTGTTTTCAGGTGAAGCTAAGTGTGTTTTTAGAGTATGCACGAGCCTTAGGAATGCCTTATTTCATACTATATATAGTGCTGTATATTATTTTCATTGCCGTCAATATATTTTCCACGACTTGGGTAAGTTATTGGACAGAGGATGCCACTCTGAAGAATTCCTCCGTCTTCGGGAACAGTTCACTGCGCAGGGAGAGGAACGACTTCTACTTTGGTATTTATGGTGGCTTGGGAGCAGCACAGGGTAATTGTCAAAAGCATGATAATAGTTGGAAAAAAAATTAATAATTTGTTTATAGAAAACTAGTAATTGTACAAGCTTTCAAAATAAGTACCCTATATCTCATGTTATTTGCAAAAACTTTATTTTAGTTAAATTAATTGAGACTGTTTCTTCTTAAATTCGTATTGAATATGCAACAAAACCAAAATTTATGAAAAAATTTTCTTGCTTATAAATATCAAATAATTAACTTATTCAAATAGTTGTCTCAAAAAATGTAGCGATCAGTATACTGAAAAAAGAAAAACACACTTAAATCTTAGAATTTCATCATATGAAGGATATTTTATTGAATAAAATAGATATTTTGTTTTATCTTTTCAGCTGCATTCATAGTAATCATACAGTTCGTCTTTGTGATCCGCACCATTATAGCCTCAAGGACTCTCCACCAGAAAATGCTGTTCAACATTGTGCGCTCACCCATGTCCTTCTTTGATACGACCCCTGTGGGTCGCATAGTAAATAGATTCTCTGACGACATCAGCACCATTGATGGAGAGTTGCCTAATACATTTTTTATGTTTGCGGACAGCCTATTGATGGTTTTGGGAGCATTAATCGTCATCTCATTCAGTACCCCAATATTTATGACTGTTATCCTGCCTTTGGGGATTCTTTACTTTCTGGCACAGGTATACATATCTTGGCATAAATGAACTTTGATTTTTTTTTATCATGGCTCCTTTAGTACATGTAAACAGCAATTTTTTCCCCAATTCCTTGAATTACCAAGACATACAAAATGCAAATACTGCATTCATAGCCATCATTCATGAAAACAAACTTTCATAATTTTCTCCAATGCTTGTGAAATTATTGGAGGTTTGAGTTACACAAATATTTGCAATGGAATGTTAATTTCCAGTTCTTCTTTTACTTGAAAAATCCCAAGGTAAAGTCTGAAATGTTCTTAGTATCTAAATGCCCAGTGTACTTTATCTTTGTGGAGTAGCTATGATTAAAAGTCAAATATTCACATCAAAATAAATTTGAATGTATTCAAATCAGAAGTTTTAAATTATGGACTGGTCATAATTTGTAACATTGCACACAGACATTTATAGCGGTAAATATATACCTTCTTCCTTTGAGTAGGGAGACAAAATACTTCAGTTCTTAGACACATAGAATCATACATGTTTGTGCTCCAAGATTCTGATAAGGATATCATTTTTATGCACAGAGAATTCATTGAGCTTTTTCAAAAGGCTGATGAATTCTACTTTAATTTTGCAGAGATTTTACATTGCAACCTCCCGTCAGCTAAAACGATTAGAGTCCAAGACACGTTCTCCTATCTACAGCCATTTTGGTGAGACCGTCACTGGAGCAAGTGTGATCCGAGCCTTTGGGTTACAGAACGAGTTTATTCTCGAGTCCCAAAAACGAGTAGACAAAAACCAGGTGTTCACCTTTGCCAGCAACACTGCTAATAGGTGAAGCATTATTGGCAGCATTGCTTGTTAAACAGTTTTCAAAAAAAAAAAAATTGTAAAAACTTTCTTTAAAGCACTTATTATTAATAGACATCTTCTAATTGTTGCAGGGTACTTTTTATCCTGAAAATAACTTCCAAATTAGGTCAGGTGATCTTGTTTTCAAATTTATTCTGTAATAGCAACCTTGATACAAAAATGTTGGTTCGAATTCAGTATATACTTATTATTCAATTATGGAACCTTGAAAGAGTCCTATATTGTTATTTTGCATCACATCCTCCCTGTGCCACGAATGGGTAATTTGTGCCATATCATATGCATTAAATCTTTTATATAGAAACCATAGAATTCTTATAAAACAAGCCAGTAGGGTGACCTATTATTATGGAGACTTTCATTGTAGATGGCTTGGATTCAGGTTGGAGCTCCTGGGAAATTTTGTAGTTCTGGCAGCAGCCATCTTTGCTGTTCTGGCCAGAGATACAATACAGGGAGGAATAGTCGGACTTTCAATTTCATATGCTCTACAGGTAAGGCATCATCAATTTACTCCAAATAGTCTGGATCAACCAGAGACTCTTTTGTCAATGACTTGATCCACTTCAGAAAGAGTTTTGTATCATTTGTAGAAACTTTTTTTTGTTACCAGTAGGGGGTACATGTACAACATCTTGATGAAAAAAATGTGTTTTTCTGGGGTAATGCAATTTATTTGTGTATGGTACATGTATCAAGCTCTTTTTGTTGATACAGTAGAAAAGATGGATTTTCTTAGACTATCCTATAACATTGAAATACAGTAAAACTTTCTCTAATCAGGAACCACTGGTTCCAAAGAAATTGGCCAGATTAGATAACATTCCAGATTAGATAACATTTTAAAAAATGAATTTGCTGAAAAATACTTAAAGTTTACATTGTATTAGGCAAAATTTTGGATTATACAACATCATGATTAGACAAGTTTCACTGTATTTTCATAATGTCCCCTCATTTTACTGATGACACTCATTGATTACATTCTCCTGAAATTGACTTGTAGGTCACTGACAATCTAAACTGGTTTGTGAGGATGATCTCGGAGCTGGAGACTAATGTTGTAGCTGTGGAGAGGGTATCAGAATACACTAAGACACCAACAGAGGTACAGATCAAATGTGGAAAGTTGCATACAGCCATTTACTTTTCATATTATACAAAACTGTTGAATTCAGTCACTTTGCAGATCATTTTCGAAAGTTTAACTACTCTTTTGTTTGGTATTTTTTTTAAAAGTGATTGAAGTTAATAAAATGATTACATGTATGTTAATGCTAAATGGAAATATTTCACTTCAACTGCAATCATGAAGTCAGATTTTCACTTGAATATTCTATGTGCATCAGTGTTGATAAAAGAATTTGTTAAACAGGCTGACCTCATTAACCCCTATCATCGACCTTCACATGATTGGCCGACAAAAGGTGTTGTGGAGTTCAGAAACTACTCCACTAGGTACAGAAGTGGCCTTGACCTGGTACTGAAAAATGTCAACTTCAAGGTCAATGTCTCAGAAAAGGTAACATTTTACTTCAATCTACATATTGCTTTTTATTTCTAATAATGAGGAAAATTGAAAATAATTTTATATTGAAAACAAATGTTTATTAAAAGAAAATTGTATGTTAATTATTAAAAAAAGTACACAAATGGGTCAATTTTAGCAGTTTGAAAATAGACTGAAAGGCCTTCTCAGGAAACAATCCTAACAGAATAGCCAAAAATATTTCAAAACTTATAATTATCCTAACAATGAAAATGTACTAAGTTTTACAAAGTATCAACGACTCCTTGAAAAAAACTTTTCAAGAGCAGTGAATGTTAATTGAATGTTAAGCTTTGTACTTTGGACTTTAGGTTGGAATTGTGGGAAGAACAGGAGCTGGAAAGTCTTCCTTGACCTTGGCACTTTTCCGGTTAATTGAACCAACATCCGGTTCTATTATCATTGATAAAGAAAATCTTTCTCACATGGGTTTGCATGACTCCAGGTCACGATTAACAATACTTCCACAGGTACTTCTTGACTGCCATCTTATTTTAGTTTTATTTTGTCTTGTAATCATATATCATGTACAAGCAACTGATTGTAGTGACCTTTCCTTTTGGGTTTCATTGTTATGTTGATTAGATAAATATATATAATAATTTTTGAAGTCTCTATTCTTTCTCTTGTAAACTAAACTTACCGGTACAGTACATGTAAATGTTCATTATCTGTGCTTGGTCTGTTAGGACCCAGTATTATTTTCTGGGAGCCTTAGAATGAACTTGGACCCAATGAGTCGATACACTGACCAAACATTATGGGAGGCCCTGGAGCATGCCCATCTGAAGGACTTTGTCCAGACACTACCCACTGGCCTGGAGTACGACTGCGGAGAAGGGGGGCAGAATCTCAGGTGCAAAAAACATTAAAATTATAATTATTGAATTATATGAAGTGGTATTTTAATAACTGTAAATTAAATTTTATGTCTCAGAAACTTTTCGAGATAAAGTTTCAATACCAATTAAATATATGTACAATGAAATTAAAATAAGGTTACGTTGGTCATACAGGATTGTTGATTATTAAGTCTTGTAAAGAAATAGGTTGTATTTATTTGGATATTGTATTCATGAAGAGAGACAATGTATAAATATTGCTTGATTTTATTCTGAGATTTGATTGATTGTAGTGTTGGACAGAAGCAGCTTCTCTGTTTGGCTCGAGCACTCTTACGCAAGACCAAAATTCTGATTCTGGATGAAGCTACAGCAGCAGTTGACATGGAAACAGATGAACTCATCCAGAATACCATCAAACAAGAGTTCCGTGATTGCACAGTTCTGACCATCGCACATCGTCTGAACACAGTTATAGATTATGACAGGTACAAAGTTACAGCAAACAATTAATCATCAATGGTTATAATTGCTCAAATTATATTAATATATTTGCCAGTGCATTTTTATGCTTAAAATGATATTAATGGTTCCCAAAACACCCAATTTTTCAAAAATGACACACATTCTGAGAATATTGCATTTAAGCATTACTAGTCCCCTACTGGCAAGTGTAATCTGGTTCCCCTTAAAAATTAGAAAGGCCATAATTTAATCAAAAATCATGAAGGGGAACAAAATGCAAACTTGATCTATAACTCATTATGGTTGACAAACATCCCAAAAATAAGCTCAGTATCTGCAAACTTGTAGGAAAAAAATGGGAAAAAGTGGGAAATCTGGTTTCCCTGTAAAATTTAAAAAGGAAGTAATTATGTCAAAAATCATCAAAGCAAAATTAAATGCAAACTTAATCTGTAACTCATCAAGGTACACTCATGTACCCAAAATCGGCTCAGTATCTCAACACTTGAGAAAATTACCATCTATATCCATTTTTTTTTTTAGATTTCAATTTCAATTTTATGTATTCTCATCAAACGCCATATACTAATACAAATTTTCATGTTGCATTACTTATATACCTTGGGCATGGAATTCATGTCTTATGGACATATTACTAGTTAGATAAGCAATATTATTTCTTGTTAATGTGGTATTTTATGATATAACTTTTAAATAAATGTTTGGAATAATATTAATTAAAGTTGAATACAGTAATTAAGGTAAGAGAACAAAAAAGGTAAGAATCAGTGGATATCATCAATTTGTTGAATGACTGACATGAAAAAAATAGTAAAACACCTGCTTCCAAAACAAAAAAATAAAACAAAAAACAAAAACAAAAACAAGCATTCTGAGAGTATTGCATTAGCAATACTAGTCCCCTACCGGCAAGTGTAATCTGGTTCCGTTCCAGTTAAGAATTGAAAATGCCATAAATCCATCAAAAATTAATGAAGCAGGGCGAAATGCAAACTTGATCTATAACTAATCAAGGTAAAGCCACATACCAAAAATCAGCTCAATATCTACAAGCGTTTAGAAGAAAATTGCGGAAAACCCTTAAAAGTTGAAAAGGCTGTAATTCTGTCAAAAATCAATGAAGCGGAACGAAATGCAAACTTGATCTGTAACTCATCAAGATACACTCACATACCAAAAATCAGCTCAATATCTGCAAGCGTTTAGGAAAAAAATGCGGAAAACCAAGTGGGACAGACAGACAGACAGACGGACAGACAGCTAGACAGACAGACAGACTCAGAGGAAACCTATAGTCCCCTCTGTTTTCACCGGTAGGGGACTAAAAAAACAAAGAAAAAAAAACCCCAAAGACCCCCCCCCCCCCAAAAAAAAAAGAACCTGCCTGCCACATTGGATTTTGAAATTTTTGGCCTGAGAAACTATTAAATTTTTTGGCTTTACATGGGAATATATTGGAAAAGATCTTTAAAAATCTTCTTACTTCTTAAGAACAGCAATGCCATGATTAGTCATGTATTTATATGGAAGCATCCTCAAGTAGTGTTGATTCAAGTTTGTTCAATTAAATCATGATCCAAGGGATAGGGTGGGGCCACAATAGGTGAACTTTTACGTAGGAATATGTAAGGGAAAAAATCTGATGATGAAGAACAGCAAAGTGATTCAGGTGAGTATGTGGCCCATGGGCCTCTTGTTTTACTTATACTTTTTGTAATTCTGTCGATTTTTAGCTCTTCTGAGCCAAAGGCTCAAAGAGCTAATGCTATGGCCATTTGTGCGGTGTGCGGTGTGCGTAAACTTTTTAGAATATGGGCCATAACTCAAGAACCCCTTGGCCAATTATTGTCAAATTTGTCACAGGGTATCCTTGGCCCAAGGGCTCCCTTTTATACTAAAACTGGGGTTGTGACCCTTTAACAAGGGGAGATAATTAGGAAAATAGAAACAAAAGTACTGGTTTCTAAAAAATCTTCTTCTCAAGAACCACTGGGCAGATTATCACCAAACTTACACAAAAGGATAAGGATATGTTGTAGATTAAAATTTGCACGGGGATTTACCCTGGGGCAAAGGGCGTGGTCTCAAGGTCACTTCAAAGTTGACCAAAAATTACATTTTATGAAAATGTTGATATTTTGCTTACTATAAGGACTAGGATCATCAAATCTTGTCAGTTGGTGCATCTAAGGACCTCATATCATGTTGACTCAAAAGTAGGTCACGGTGACCTACTTTTTAAATTTTGTGGCCATTCTTTTTCAAAATGATTTAGAGGCATATTTTGAACAATTTAAGGCCTATGATCATCAAACTTTGTCAGTTGATGCATCTTGGGTCCTCAAAGTACGTCGACTAAAAAGTAGGTCACCTTGACCTACTTTTTGAATTTTATGGCTAATCTTTTTTAAAACAATTAAGGTCATTAATTCGAATACGGGGAGGCTTAGAATAATTAAATCTTGTAAGATGATGCATCTTGGGGCCATAAAACATATTTATTAAAAAGTAGGTCACAGTGACCTACTTTTTGAACTTTGCAGGCATTCGATTTCAAAGCGTTTTAGAGGCATAATTTGGACATTTTAAGTCCTATGATCATAAAACTTTGTAAGTTGATGCATCTTGGGTCCTCAAAAAAGGTCAACTGAAAAGTAGGTCACTGTGACCTACTTTTCAATTTTTATGACTATAATTAAATATTTCAGGTACTAATTGGCTTAGAATCATCAAACTTTGTCAGTTGATGCATCTTGGGTCTTCGGAGTAGGTCGACTAAAAAGTAGGTCATAGTGACCTACTTTTGAAAATTTATGGCGTTAATTAAATATTTCAGGTACTAATTGGCTTAGAATCATCAAACTTTGTCAGTTGATGCATCTTGGGTCTTCGGAGTAGGTCGACTAAAAAGTAGGTCACAGTGACCTACTTTTGAAAATTTATGGCTTTAATTAAATATTTCGGGTACTAATTGGCTTAGAATCATCAAACTTTGTCAGTTGATGCGTCATGGGTCTTCGGAGTAGGTTGACTAAAAAGTAGGTCACCGTGACCTACTTTCGGAAAATTTATGGCTTTAATAAAATATTTCGGGTACTAATTGGCATAGAATCATAAAACTTTGTCAGTTTAGGCGTCATGGGTCCTCGGAGTACAACAACTGAAAAGTAGGTCACCGTGACCTACTTTTGAAAATTTATGGCTTTAATCAAATATTTCGGGTACTAATTGGCTTAGAATCATTAAACTTTGTCAGTTGATGCGTCTTGGGTCCTCGGAGTACAACAACTGAAAAGTAGGTCACGGTGACCTACTTTTGAAATTTTATGGCTGTATTTAATATTTTCAGGAATTATTTGGCTTAGAATCGTCAAAATTTGTCAGTTGATGTATCTTTGGTCCTCGGAGTAGGTTGACTGAAAAGTAGGTCACTGTGACCTACTTTTGAAAATTTATGGCTGTAATTAAATATTTTGGGTACTTATTGGCTAGAATCATCAAACTTTGTCAGTCCGTGTATCTTTGGTCCTCAGAGTACAGCAACTGAAAAGTAGGTCACGGTGACCTACTTTTGAAAATTTATGGCTTTAATTAAATATTACAGGTACTAATTGGCTTAGAATCATCAAACTTTGTCAGTTGATGCATCTTGGGTCCTTGGAGTAAAACAATTGAAAAGTAGGTCACTTTGACCTACTTATAAAATTTTATGATTATAATTTTAAAAAATATTTTAGGTATTAATTGGCTTAGAATCATCAAACTTAGTTGATGGGTCCTCAGAGAATGACAAGTGATAAGTAGGTCACCATGACCAACTCTCAGGTACTAATTGGCTTAGAATCATCTTGGGTTCTCAGAGTGTGAATTGGAATTTCAAGGGTTTATGTAAATATACAGGATACTTCGAGGCTTCAAATAGAAGTGATAGGTTGTACAGTTTATCAGAAGAGCGATTCAAGGCCCATGAGCCTCTTGTTCTTTTGTAAAGAAGCATTCCTATTGAAAAAGAATATTGATTTAATTCTTTTCTTTTTGGTTTAGGATTATGGTACTGGAGCAGGGTGTAGTAAGAGAATTTGATAGTCCCCAAGCATTGCTACAAAAAACTGACAGCTTGTTTTATCAGCTGGCAAAGGATGCTGGGATTGTTTGAGACAAAGAATGCTAGGATTTTATATCACCCAAAGTTTTCTAAAAAAAACTTGGAATTTAATATAGATATTTGGAAATTTTTTTTTGATATGTCTAGAGTGACATGCGAAAAGTTTTTAAGAAATAGATATAAAAAGTTGACTTGATATTGTTTTCAAACTTTTGTTACAGTCAGTTTCCCTCCTCTTCCTTAATTGATGAGGTTTGCTGGTTTTATCTTGTCAAAGAGGAATCTCAAGCATTTTTTCCACAAAGTAATCAATTTACAGTTATTGTTTTCTTTTAGTTTATTTGAAGTATTAAAGTTTTTAGAGGTGGATGTAGATCTCCGCAAAATTGTGTATTGATTATTCATAATACATGTTACTTGAAATCATTCCTCACATTGTTTAGGTATCCAATATTATTGTACAGCATAAACATTTTACTTTCAATCAGGGAAAATAAAGTAGATCTGAGGGGTTTTTTTGCATTTACATGTGGTATGTGTGTTTTTACATGTATCTTGTTATCATTGTAACTTGTATATGTAAAAAAAAATTCATAGATAGAACATATTAAATATGTTTCAATGAATTATAGTAAGGAGTCAGAGTGCCATATTTCCTACACTGTAACTACCCTGATACAGTATATGGAATTCAACATGCAGCGGTGCTTTTCAGCAGTATTCCATATACTTTGATTAGAATTAAGAATTTACAGTCAAATTTTTTCCTCAGAAAATTTCAATTTCAATGCTGAATTTTTAAAATTCATTTTCCAAAATGCATAAGAAATAATTGCTTCCTGGGGGTTAAAAAAAATTTTGAGTCTGGCCATTTTCAGTCAGTCAGTCAGGAAAGGGCAACCAAACAATTTTTTAAAGATGGCCTGAACACTCAGTCTGGCAGCTGCTTATACTATTACACATACAGTTGAACTTGGGTATCTCGAACACCTACACCTCAAATACCATGGATATGTGGAAGTAAATTGGAAGTCCCAACCACTTATTCTTTAAGTATTTTACCCTCAATATCCCAAAGCCTCGGATGTTTTAAAGTTTTTTTCTCAGCCCCAACTATTTCAAGATAACAAGGTTTGACTGTATTTTAATTAAGGGAGGATTATCATTTTTAAAAGAACATACATGTAATTAAAAATGGCAAACCACAGAAACCTCATATGATTACTAGTAATTTATTGTGTTTATTCATTGAGAATTGTTTATGCATTGAGAATTGTAAAAAAACATTTATTTGACAAAATCTAAAAAGATACGATGGCCTGGTGGATTCAAAGTACCAGCATATAGCATGTCTGGTACCATTACACCTTTGAAAGAGTTCTTTAAAAATTCTTTAAGAAAATCAGGAACCTTGCCAATGGCCTTATTTTGCTAAATGTCATATTGATTTAAACTTGCAGAACTTGATCAGTATCAGAGGCAGGTATAAAAATTTCTCAAAAGCTATATTGATACCTGATATGTACATTTAAAATAGTGATTTGGAGGGGGTCTGTCCCTTGCCCTTACTTTTTTCTAAACATAAATTTGTATATTTACCTTGATATGAAAATGTTCATTGAAAAGCTTGTTCCCCATTAATAGATCCTAACATTCCCCTCCCCCTCCTCCCCAAAAGAAAATAAATTTTTGGAGTTTGGAAAATTCTATTTTGGGAATGGGGGTGGGGGAGTCAAATTTTTTTTCAGGTAAGTTGTCAGTTATTTTTTTTCCTGTAATGTCCTCTATTTCAAAATCTATCCGACATGTGTGAGATTAATTTTTTCTCCATTACACTTTAAGTAGATTAAATAATTCCAAATTAATACATTTGGTTATGTTTTTATTTTAACCTGCTTCTTCCATTACATTTGGACAGGTGTTCAGCAAATGAAAACAAGTACGATGGCATGAACTGCTTAACGAGTTTATATCATTTAATCATTGAATCATGAAATAAAACAATTATTGCTGTTTTTTACTAGTCAATACGATGATTTAGCCACCTTCAATGTAACAATATTCACCTTGCCCTTAGGGCTCGGGGAATATTGTACTCATCAGGTATCTAAATCACCGTATTGACCTCAAAAACAGCAATAATTGTAAAACATCAACTTTCTCTTTTTGATAACAGCATGCATAATAGATATTCTGTCATTCAATCATTACATTTATATAATTTCAACTTTTCTTGCTTTAAATTTTATATTTTATACTCAGTTAAGCTTTGTATATGTTACATTTTTCAATTGTAGCCTATTAGTAATACATTGTTTATTGTGCTTTTGTTTTTGTTTGTATTTTGAAAGAGTTTTTGTTAGCCTTATATACATGTATGCATAATTGTAAACAAGAATGCAGTTTTTGTATCAGAGTGTATCCACAAAAATAGTTTACCTTGTGCTGTTATACAGAAAATAAAACATTCTAAAGTGTACTTATTGAGTTGTTCTAGTTTATTTTCTACATAGGGTACCTTCCATATTTTCCTAGGAAAAATAAATCAAAGATTGTGAAGTATCAATGATGTACATGTATTGGGAAAATAAATTCAAATTATGTATTCAATTACCTAACTCACAGTGGTCTAATAAAATATTAAGGATCCTCTCTACACTGCACATTAATTACAGGGTACTTCTGTGTAGTTAGACTGATTCACCATTTGATCTAAAAAGGAATAAATTAAAATATGCACTGTATTACATAATTTGTAATTAAGGTATTTCATCCCTAATAGCCTCAGATTCAATGAATTTGAATACATAACAGATGTGTACTGGTGGAATACTCAGTATATTTAGACAATTCCCATTTATTACTACATGTATTAGCATGTAAGAATGGAACGTGACCTAATTTATGATCTTGACCTTTTGAAGAGTTATCTCCCTCTTTTTATAAGTAATAGCAAGATGTGTTTGTGAAACACTGATGCCCCCGTATGGCAACTTATAGCAAAGGTTAAACTTTCTCAAATGCAAATCAAACATGTTGGTACCCAAAGTAAGGTCTTGTCTTGAGGAATAAACCTGTGAAATATGAAAGCCCTAGCAGGAACCATTTAATAGATATGGAAAAGATTAAAGTTTTTTTTTTTCAAAAGTATGTCAAATATCAAGGTCAAATGCTCAAAATTAACAGTACCCAAGGAAAGGCCTTCTCCCATGAAATACACAGGTGAAGTATGAAAGCAGAGGCACCAATCGTTCAAAAGTTATGACCAAGGTTAGTTTTCCAAAAGTAGGTCAAACTCCAAGGTCAAAGGTAAAAGTTGTTGGTATCCAAAGAAAGGTCTTGTCACAAAGATAACATATTTGAAGTATGAGAGCAATAGCACCAACCGTTCAAAAGTTATGGCCAAGGTTAAAGTTTTCCAAAAGTAGGTCAAACTCCAAGGTCAAGGACAAAGGGTCAAAGTTGTTGGAATCCAATGAAGGTCTTGTCACATGTGAAATATGAAAGCCCTAGCACCAACCGTTCAAAAGTTATGGCCAAGTTTAAAGTTTTTCAAAAGTAGGTCAAACTTCAAGGTCAAAGGTAAAAGTTGTTGGTATCCTAAAAAAGGTCTTGTCACAAGGATTACATACGTGAAGTATGAAAGCCCTGGCACCAACCGTTCAAAAGTTATGGCCAAGGTCAAAGTTTTTCAAAAGTAAGTCATACTCCAAGGTCAAAGGGCCAAAGTTGTTGGTATCCATAGGAAGGTCTTGTCACAAGGATTACACATGTGAAATATGGAAGGCCTAGCACCAACCGTTCAAAAGTTATGGCCAAGGTATTAGTTTTGTAAAATTTTGCAAAACTGGGTCAAACTCCAAGGTCAAGGTAAAAAATGGTGGTACCCAAAGGAAGGTCTTGTCACAAGGAATACACATGTGAAATATGAAAGCCATAGCTCCAACCAATCAAAAGTTATGGGCAAGGTTAAATTTTTTGCTTACAAACAGACAGCTAGACAGACAGAAAGACAGACGGACGGACAGGGCAAAAACTATATACCCCCGAATCTTCGATACGGGGGCATAAAAATCAATTTTTAAAAATCTATACGGTAAAAAAAATGTTTTCAATTGTCATTCTGTTTCTAATGATTTAATGCATCTTTCCACAACAGTATTTATTGACATTCTTAATATTTGAATTTTTATTTTAAAAAAAATCGCTTGTCTCCATAGACTTCAATGCAATTTCTGTTAATTAATTACTGCTTAGTTAATTACATCTTTGAAACTTTCTCTTGGTAAATCCTTTACTACTGTAAAATGCTTTGAATTAATATCAGAGTATTATATACGTGATGAATATTTAAGGATAGAGAGTTAGGTCCTTTTAGCGATGGAAAACCTTAGGTATTTTAAACATTATATTAGACCAAGATAGGGTAACTGAAAACTTTATTTGCCTATATTTCCCCAATTGAGTAAGCAAACACGATATTTAGGTGACCCATTGCTCTCCGTTTTTGACCGCATTGTGCGTTAACATTTGCACATTTTCAGCTTCTTCTCTGGAAACACTGATCTAATTTTGAACAGCCAATTTTAGCATGACATCTATGGGTGAAGGGGACAAAATTAATGAATTTATGGATCCCCACCCCCTGGGGCCTGAAGGGTGGGGCTAAAACCATCAAAATTGATGTATTCTTAAAAAAAAAATCATCTTTACTCCTGGACATCAAACATTTAAACTGTTGGCATAATTGCAATAAGCATTGAGTCCTTTACCAAAATTTTGAAATTCACGGCCCCTGGGTCAGGGGTTCTGGAGTTAAGGCGTGGCTCTATAATTGATCTATTCAAATACCAAGAGAGGCAAATGTGTGATGCAATGTGTAGGTTTTACTACATGTTCTCAAGCAATTGGGCCTCTTGTCTTTATCAGTAGTTTGTTTTCTTTGAAGCTTTTTCCTGAGTAAAAGGGGCATGCATCCTATGACATAGGATGCATGCAACTAGATAAATTTAATGTTTACAGTAAAACTGTCTAATCCAACACCTGTACAATCCGTTGTACTGTGAATTTCAACCTTTATTTTCATTCCCATTTTCCATGTTCTTCACACTGTGTAATCCAAAACTCTGTCTGTCCCGACAAAATTGTCTCCCAGTGCATGTTGGATTAGACAGGTATGCCTTTATGCTATATAATTTTCTCAAAGTTCAATAAAGATTTTATCAGTGTATAGAGATTCCTTAAGAATAATCTACCATAATTTGTGTCATTCTCTGTCAATTGCCATTCTTCTATCTAACATCTTAGATCAGATCACTAACTGCATAAAACTATCATAGAATTTGAACATCCTTGGTATTTTGGGACAACCTAAGCTAGTCTTCTACCCCCCCCCCCCCCCCTCGGACAGGTAGGCTTACAGCTACTGTCGTCCCTTCTTAGCCACTACCACCCCAATACCATCTGGTCTGCCGCTGCATGCTGTCAACTGCCCTTTTTCCTCCTTCCACTCGATCAAATTGCAGTCATCACCCTCAAACATGATGCTGCTGGGAAACCTCGTAACTCCAATTCTAATGGGAAGATCCATCCTAGTTACCTGCAATCAGTCATTAAATTGTTATATTTTGCACGTATGCATTCGTGAACCTCTTGATATCAAATCTCCCAGTGCACTATGACCTATTATTATAGTTTCTTCATGCTGTCAGATATTGGTAGGATATAGGTTGTTGGGTAGATTCTGCTGTTGGTTGGTCAATTTCAAAGTGCGTTAAGAGTGTACATCAACATTTTTTACCATGGAGACGCTTAACGCGCTTTGAAAAAGTACGTATAAAACAAAAATTCTGGACCTATATTTTAATAATAGATAGCATTAATTTGTAATATTTCTTCCGAAAAACTGATGAATTGATATACCCTCATCGAGAACAAAGAGAAGACAGGTAGAAAGTCCCTCAGCCCAACTCCCTATCTTTCCTACACAAATATATGTATTTGCATAACTGGTATGGCATTGATATTATTTCTCTCAATAAATTTGAGTTAACGTAAAATAGATGAAAAAATTGAAATAAGCTTTCCTGAAAAAAAAAATACGCACCCTATTATATTAAAGAAGAGAGCCGCATAACCTTTATTCAAAATGTATCCATAATGATTCTTCAGATATAAAAAAATGCATTAACATGGTAATTAAAACATGCTATTTGACATGTCTAGCAATTTTATGATATCAAATTACAGATTTAGAAGTAATATGACTCCTAACTTTTTTGAGAAAAAGTTACTATAGTGAACGAGGTAAAAATTTCAGTCGAGTGAGTAATGTGGCTAAGGTTTATTTTCTTACTATCAAATAAATGGGTCATTCATTATTTCATATATATTCACAATAGATAGATAGATGGATATGATAGAAAAATAGATATGAGAGAGAGAGAGAGAGAGAGAGAGAGAGAGAGAGAGAGAGAATTTTCATGGTATGGAAAAATCATAATTGCTCCCTTTTCCCAAAGAAAAATGCGATGCTTTAAGTCACTTATCGACACCTACATCTACCGAACTTATTAGAGACTGGATAAAATTTAAAAAAGAAAAGAAAAAAAGAAACGAAACTGTGCTATTAAACAATCATTCCTCCATTATTTCTAAGACCCATTTCCCTTTTAAAACAGTTACGAGAACCTTTGGAATCAAGACAACTCCTAAAAATATATTTAAAACGTCTATATCTCAGATCCTGACGTCACCACCGAAAAGTTGTCCAACCAGGTTCAAAAAATTATTTATCATACCGAAAATTTGCAAGAATATTGACCAAGCTGTGCACATTTTTTTTCAAAGTGCGTTAATATGGTCGATATTAACGCACTTTGAAAAGAAATATTTTTTTTTTCAAAGTGCGTTAACGTTGTCCCAAAATTAACGCACTTTGAAATTTTTTTTGAAAGTGCGTAATTTTTCAAAGTGCGTTGTAACAGTCGTTCCAGTAGCATCACCCGAACTGCTTGACTGGTTAAGTAATAGACTCTACCCAATGTTTTCGATAAGGTTTTTTTTTTTTTTTTTTTTTTTTTTTTTTTTTTTTTACAGATTATCCGTTTTCTCACAGATCACCATCGTCTAAGCAGAGTAGTTTATCATTCAAATACCGCTTGTACCATATACACACACATGCATGGCTCGCATTTGACACATTACCTACTTCCTCCGGTATTTTCAGAAGTTTTTTTCTGGAGTTTTCCAGAGTACAGCACAAAATTGTGTGGTTAACTGCTGCTCAGTGACGTTCTACGACGTCATCTTTGTTGCCTTTTTCAATGAGGAATACCTATCTTTTGAAACATTTCTTTTCAACGAAGCAAAATATTACGTCATAATTTGGAATCAGAAACGATGAAACAATTTGAACATGTAGAATTTTTCCCTTTTTTGATCTCATTTTACAGAGGATATGACTTCAGACATTATTTA